CTTTCACTTCAATATCTAAGTCCTTTAACAATTGTATGTAACATGTTAACTCTGAACACAATTCTGACAATGCTATGAAGTCCGCCTCAGCTGTGTAAATGGCAACCTAAGTCTGTTTTCTAGATTTCCAACTAATAGTATATTTGCAAACACTACAACAAATCTTGTCATTGACTTTCTATCTTGTACATCATTAGCCCAATCACTGTCTACAAAACGTTTCCATTCAAATTCATTTGATAGTTGCAAATGCAATCCAAAACCCATGTTTTTCTTTTAAATGTAGTATTCTTTTAATTCCGAAACAGAGTTGCTGTGTAGGCTTTGAGCAACTAACCTTGCTTTATATTGTACTTCATCGAATGAAGTTTCAAAAGTTTCTTTTTGTACACCCATCTGCATCCAACAGCCCTTTCTCCCTCTGGAAACCCCACTGGAGTGAAAACTGTTTTTGCATAGACAGCATTTATCTATAGCCTGTTTCTATTTCTTTTGTTCTGCTAGAAGTAAATTGAATATTTCCTGGTAATTTGGGGGCTCATAAAAATGTCACATACTTTTTATCTCATCAACTGTGAATCTTTCTGGAGGAACACCTTTGTTTGCTCTTTCAGACCTCCTTGGAATAAATGGTTCCTGTTTCACTGGAATCTAACTCTCCAAACATTCCCCTGAGCTATACACAAACCCTAAGCTACACTTGGATTCCTGTTTAACTTGCCTGTGTGAATGTTCATTGGAGACCTCTGACTAACAGGCATTAAAATTTCAGTACTGGCATGTACCTTTTCCCAATTCTCTGTTCTGAAAAATTTGCAGAACATGAGATAATAACATTTACAGATGGACACAAAAAAGTCTTTGATCCTGATTGATAACCTACAGGTGAAACTCGAAAAATTAGAATATTGTGCAAAAGTTCATTTATTTCAGCAATGCAACTTAAAAGGTGAAACTAATATATGAGATAGATTCATTACATGCAAAGCAAGATAGTTCAAGCCGTGATTTGTCATAACTGAGATGATTATGGCTTACAGCTCATGAAAACTCCAAATCCACAATCTGTATAAGTTTCATTACCCTTGCCTTTGGCTTTCTTCCTCATTGTGTTGGGAATGTGCACCCATGCACTGTTGCCAAAGATTCTTAAATGTACCAAGGATGGTTGTCTTTTATATAACATGTAATATGGAATTTCATTAATTGCTGAACTCCATAGTCTATTGGCCAAATAATTGGCAGTTGAAATTGCCTCACCCCAATATAGCTTACTCATTCCTGCATCTGCTAGTAATGCATCTTTCATGGTTTTTAACACACCATTTCTGCATTCAGCAATTCCATTCTTTGCCAGAGTGTAGGGGTTCATTCTTCTATGGGTTACGCCTTTCTTTCTCAGCCACTGCTGAAAAATGTTAGACACGAACTCTGTTCCTCATGAACTCATACCCTTTGATTATACTCCTCTCTACAAACATTACCCATTGCTTAAATTGTTGAAAGTTGTTTTGCTTTTTAGTAAATAACAATACCCATATCTTGAGAAATAATCAACAATTACCAAAGCATTTGGCCTCTCCCATTGATGGATAGAAGGCCAATTAAATCAGCATGTACTAACTGAAAAATCCTGTTAGATTTCCTATCATTTCTTTTGCTGACAGAGTGTACCTTCGATTTGGTTTCTTTGCAAATAGCACAAGCCAATTAGTTGTCACAATCTTTTACATTCCAATCTACAGCCAAGTCAGGCATTTTATGTAATATTTTAAAGTTTGCATGATCAAGTCTTCTGTGTAATAAATGTGCAGAGCCATTATGCTTTGATTCATTAGAAATTATTGTTTGCACACTACTAGTTTTCTTGTGGTTCAAAACATATAAATTGTTCAGTTTCGCACACACCCTGATAATTCTTTATGACTTTGCATGTACCCTTTGCGAAAATTACCTCATACCCTTCATTCTTCATGCAAGACACACTCAACAAATTGCGATCTAAATCTGGTACACAAAACCTTATCAAACGACTTACCAATCCATGGTACATATACTTGCCCCTGTACAAAATAATAATTACCATTTGCCAGGCGTACATATTCCTGGGCAGCTGGTCCCAGACTAGAAAAAAGTTTATTTACAATATACTCACTTGCCTCACTATCCAACAATCAAATGTCTTTAATGCCTTTGTTGTTTGCCTTCACCACAGAAATCTGTGTGTTTCCCTTCTTCAGTTGTTTTGCTGTCTCTCTCCTGTTTCTTTTTTTTAATCTTTTTAGTGGGCAATTTCTCTGGATATGTTGAGTTGATCCACAAGCAAAGCAGCATTTTTAGTACACAGAATTTCTCTCCCACCTTGTTATCTCTCTGGAATGCAGATCTTTTTTGACTGAGCTACAAATTACTATTGTTACTCTCAAGTGCAATGTTTCTCTCTAATCTTTTCTGTTCTTCTTCCAAAAGCCTCCTGGTTACATAATTCAATTAAATCACGCTTTTTCATGGGCTCAAACCTTGCTATTACTAACATGTCCCATGTATCATCAAGGGAATACAGCACCATATACTTTGTGTGCTTCTGAAAACACCATTCCTCGCTCTTCTAATTCAAGGAAGGTTTCCTCATGAAGTGGAGGTGATCTGACAGATTTTCTCCAGCTTTGCTCTATAAAGTTTTCTGGTGAGAGTTACTTTGCAGCTTGCCATCTCCCTTACATAAATTCTGGGTAATGCAAGGCAGTATTCTCTAGCAGTTGTGAGCCCATGTACATGTATTACCTGACTATCCTCCCAGCACAAAATTATGCTGGCTAGCGCTTTTCCATTTAGCTTTTGCTATTCCTCATTAAGATTTGCTGGAGGATTGCTTGCAGCTTTCTACAAATCCTCCTTCCCAGAAACATCTCCATATTTACACTCCATGAGAAATAAATCATCCTAATTAGATGAGCCAAAGGAAATCCTCCTCCCATTCCTGTAACATAGCATCATGCTGTCTGTACAGGCCAATAATCCTCAACCTTTCTCACAAAAAAAAACTTTTATTTCAGAGAAATTTTCTACTGTCACTTCAGGGAGCTTTTGGGTCCCAAACCCTGTTAGGGAATTGTGCAGCAGCTGTCCAAATGGAGTCAGAGATGCTAACACGAACTTGTAATTTTATATAAATAAATATATTTAACATCTATATTTACAACAAATAAGATAGTTAGGCATATCACTACACCAGGAGGTAAATCACAGAATAGCCTACAGAGAATACAGAAGAAAAAAGTTGGGAAAAAGGGAAATTCCCCCTTTATATCCAGCAATCAATCATAATGTAGATTGCCTCATGCAGAAGCCCACATTCTCCAACCAATCAACTACCACTATGTATTCTGACCCATTATCCATTTTACTGTTCTAGCCATTAAATATCTTAAAACATTGCTTAGATAATACTTTTTAATTGATGAGTTCTACCCTATATTTGATGCACAAGAAAAAAATCAACTTTATTTTGACACAATGCTAGCAATTATTGATTCAAATGTGATCAATTTTAGGTATTTATAATTTTATTCCCGTATTTGTGCCAAGACTACATACATTTACTATTTATAATTTAAAATAAAACAATATTACAAGATGTAAAATAACAAGAACCTCCCATAAATGTAAAAGTAGGCTATGTCATGTCTATAGGCAATTTATTTTATGGACTCCTGTTTTGACATTCACCAATTTTCCCTGAATCTCATTTTAAAGCACAGGTGTCAAACATTTTCTTTATTCAAAACTACATCTCTGGACTTCCATGTAACCAACCGTTCGTTTAGAAATGCGTCCACATTTTCCCAGGTAAAAAACAGGATGTTCTGAAGAGCAGGGGAGGTAAGGAGAAGCACTGTCCTTGATTTGTAAATCAAATGTGTAAATGGACACCCTGTGAATCACCCTGCCCAAATGATAGGGTGATTTTCTCAAACTGCCTGATCCCCCCACCATCAGTAGCCAAAATCCATTTTCAAGTCCAATGCCATTAATACTATAATTGGAGCTAGTCTAATTCCTTAGGTTAAGGAGTTCCCCTGAGATTTTAATTATATTACATGCTATTACATTGTCATTTTTCAACAGCTTTAAGGCACTACTGAGCTCATAACAAATTGGTAGCTAGGTCAGAAAGAATGAACCTGTAACAGATGTTTTCTTTGTGGTTCCTTTCTTATTACTTTCTGGTATTTTATATGTATTGCACTATACATAAAGTGCTATATTTTAGAATATATCTAATTTGAGTTATACTATAAAACACTGAACAGAACATTCAGAATGAAATAGTGATGCCACTCTTAGACTAGAGGTTTCGGAATGTACCATGTAGCAGATAGAACCCCAACTACTCTGGAACAGAAACAAATACTTCTTAGTAGAGTGGAACACAGAACTTAGAACATCATTTACTATGTGAAAGGCAATATGATACAGTAACACTTCATGTTGAATTTGCCCCAAGCTTGTTTTACTTTGAGATGGAAGTAACTGGAGCACTAACAGATTGTTTTCTCAATGGGAGATCAAGAAAAGCTAGCAAATGAATTATAAGCTCCCCTTAACTGTCGATATGCTGTCAAAATAGAACAAATCATATCACCATTGGTAATGTACTATGAAGATACAACACACATACTTTAAATAAACACATATGCCCATAATTAATTGTTTGGGCTCTATACAAGGAGATGATACACTCATGCTTCAGCTCTAAACTGAGATCGATGCAAATTAGCATTTGATCGTTTTCAATATATTTTTATGTTTGGGTAACTTTGGAGAATCTTCATCTAAGCAGCTGTCTGAAAATCCTGGGGCACAGCCCGGATAAACTTGTTTTGTTAATGATCTTGCTTTTTGCTGGCTTCAAATAAAAGGCAGGTCTTTTTCCTGGCGTTCACAAGCTGAAACTAAAGCAAAACACATTGTCTTCTGCCTTTCTCTCTGTGCCCCAGTGCTGCAAGCTGTGGACTGAAAACAACAGAATGTCCTTCAAAGAATTTCAGAAGGAGCTCAGTGCTGTTGGTTACAAATTATGGCTTAAGCTCCAGAGACTACCCAAAGCTGACCCACTGGAGATTGTCTGTTTTTTTATTATTATCTTATTCATTGGTAAGTATCCACTTTCCCAATGCTTGCAACAGATCCAGGCTCAGCTACTGTGTTTGATAGGAGCTCTAAATAGTGCTGCTTCATAAGCTTATTTTGTAATTTAAATATTTTCTGATTTGTTAAAGACTATAAAGTTCAGAAGGAACTAAATGCTTTAATTTAGAATGGGAGTTTAAAGTCTTTATGTATAGTGCAATACAGCAAAGCTTTCAATATGGTAAAATGTATACAATATTTAAATTAAGTTTTTCCAACTGGATGGGTTCAGATATGCAGGACTACAATGCCTACTATTCAAAATCAGCATGGTCAATCAATATAGTAAGAATTATGAAAATAAGGCTTTTGATTTAAAAACTGTACTAGCATATTTTTTGTTCCAGGTTATGAACACTCTCTAAGCATAGATAATGACTATTTGTTTAATGACTATTAATAGTTATAACAGTGGTGAAAAAGTAACTTTACAACCAGTTCTCACATCTATGATCTTTGCTGGGTTATAAAGAAAAAGAAAGCTGAACTAACATCATAAGAATGGTTTCCTTTAACAACCGCTTTACTTAATGACCAGGTAGCCAGTCCCAATTGTGACCACTAAGCAAGGTCTCCCTGTAATTTTAAATATGCATATCTCAACAATATATTGAGGTATACATAATTATAACTGGACATTTATCAATGTAAAAAGAAGGGATACTTGAAGCATTAGAAAGCAGATTGTGTGGAGCAATGTGATTATATTTCCATGGAACATATTTACTTCTGAAATATTCTAATAACATGTGCATATTTGAACCAACTCCGAATTAGATCAGGAGGAGCAAAACAGTTCATGGAACAAATGAACATTTAATTAAGGCCTGTTAATTTTTAGGAAGATAACCATTAAATAATAGCAGCTGAAGAATAAGTTGAAGTGTGAAAAGGAGAGGCAGGCAGACAAGCTTGAACAAATCTAAGTAAATTGTTGAGTCTATTCCTCCCCTTCTCCTGTGTGGTGAGAAGATTTATTATAGTGGCAAAGGAAAGAGGAAAACCAGGATTTGTGGGAGGTGAAACTAAATTCACTAAAATTCTCGTCTATGTAGAAGGAGAAGGGTGGGATGTGCATAAACACAACACTTTGCTTATACTTTTTCTACACCAGCTATACCTATCTCTCCCTCCACATCTCCTCACTGAGTGTGGCAGAAAGCAAAACAACAATTTTAAGCCCAAGAAGCTCAACAATTAAAAACACTAAGCCACAATTTATAATTTGAATATCAAAAGTAATAATTCTTATCAGCTATCATTTTGTTGGCATTATAAGCAATCTCAGAAATTACTTTCTAAAGCTACATCTGGACTACATCTGCTACACTCACTGCGTAGTGGGCTGGACTGGTTCTAATTTCTGATCCATTTCCAAAGCCAATATTCTTTGTCTCCTTTCACCTTTCAGCTACGATGCTTTCAATGATGATTATAGCTTGCAGCTTTTGCTGCGGCTGCTTCTACAATGGAAAACCAAAAGAGAAGGCCAAAAGGATTGAGGTTCAGCCTGCAGATGATTTATAAAACTGAATTTAAAAAAGAATACAGAAGTTGGGGAAAGACTTGGAATGACTACAACATGGCATACTAATCCATGGAACATAATGGTAAATGAGGAGATAAAGTAAGAGACAGAGAGAAAGAGAGAAGGAAAAAGGGATCGAACCTGAACATAGGACTCTATTTTATGGCATTTGACATGTTGACAATGCACCGTTTGCAATAGTTTTCTCTCCTCCACCTATCAAGACAATATAATTTTAAAAATTCCAAGTGTAAAATCTGGATAAACATGCAGAAGAAAGTTGCACCAGATTTCATGTCAACATTACAGCTGAGGAAGCCCCAGACAGATCAAGATATATGCAAGCATTCAGCAGAATGAAGTCTAACATAAGCATGGTTTCTCCTCTGATCAACCATTTAAAGCTAAGTTAACCAGAGACACGATAGCTAAGCAAGTCACGCATTTGGAAAATGATGCAGGCTTGTAGATGACAAACAAATTCAGAGACAACAAAGAAAATCAGCAACAAATTCTCTTGTCTTCCTTCCCTCCTTAATAAAAGAATAAATAACTGTCAGAGCACATATGCTGTTCTGACTGTATACCCAAGGAAAGCTGAAGGGATACGATAATGCTCACAATGGTGTATTGTTTCTTGTCTTTAAAAAATTACTGTCTTTTTTAATGTTTTGGTGTCTTCTGTTTAAACTTTGTATATGACAAATCCTTAACTCAAAGGAAAGGGAACAAAAGAATCATTTGACTTTATGTTGGGTTTAAGAATATGTCCTCTACAAATACTCTTACGAATAATTTATAGTTGTGGTGGGTTCATGTTATATTTAAGGCAATTTTAAAAAGGCAACTCTTGGATTATACTCAAGGAGGAGGCATGGTAACAGGAACTCTTCCTATCATTCAGTGAGGTTTACAGTTTAATGCCTTGCTCCCTTTATTGGGAGTCTGTGTTTTAAAGTGAATTTATACACAGAGAGATCAGACAAAAGTACAGCGAAAGCAGGTTTCATTCAAGAAATGAGTGCCACAGCTGGACAACAGTATTATGTTAAATGATACAGCAAAAACATAACTAAGAATGAACTACCCAGCTACAGCTTACAGCAGAATATAAATCCCTTTCCAAAGAGACACTTTTTGCTTCAACTGATTTCAAAGAGGGCTACATGTGCACAAAAGAGAAACAATGGCACTTGACCTGTTTAAGTGGAAATAGAAAAGTTGGTGGTAGATAACAGTATATCTGCAGTTCTTTAGAGGTGTTGGACTATATCTGTCATCACCCACAGTTAGACTGCTAAGACTCCTATTGTGGTAATAGTATCTCATTTACCCCAAAACGATTTGACTCAGAATTTAACGTGAAATAGGGCTACCTATTACCACAGTACAATCTCATAGCTACCTAGTAATATCCCGTGAATCCACATTTCTGAATTATATAGATTAATAAACCCTTATTCTGGTTCACTTTAAATATGCTAAATATATGCTGTACCTCAATTAAAACTCTGCACCTTTTCCACTCAAGGTTAGAACAATGTACCAGTTATATATTGTGTTGCAAATATTTAATTTTTCCAAATTTCTGCAGTTGCAAAACCAGATTTATCAAACATCTAACCGAGTTGTCATGCAGTGTCGCTGCATTAAGGTACAACGGAAGTTGTTTTTCTTAGTGGAGGGATGACAAACTTATGGTCCAGACATTTAGAACTATAATTGGGAAGAACCTCAGTCAACATAAGTAAAGAGGAGAGATGCAGGGTGCTGCATTTCAGAAACATCTGCCAGCAAGTTCTATTTCTATATGCTATGAAGAGTGATGAAAAGCCTCCAGTATATTTATTTTGGGTGTGCACTGTTGCAGAAGTCACTCCCTTGTGCAAATGACAGGAATAAGAAAACAGCGTCAGCAACCACAGAGACACAGAGATTAACTTGATTTCAAACATGGCTGCTTTTTTATAATTGCACAGCTGCCAGACTGTGGAGAGAACAAGGCAGCCACGCAAAATGATCCCATAGCCAAATCATTGCCCAGCATTTCCAACAATACAATGATAGTGCGCTATAGAAAAAAGATCTGTACAATATCCTGAATCTCCATTAAGACTATAATAAATTTAAACCAAGTATTACACTGGAAAAAAATGCTGGATTAAAAGAAACTGAAACCAATGGTAGACTGAAATAACTGTTTTTAAAGATTAGGGAGGAAGTCTTCCAGGAAAAAGTGTTCAACTCTTTTATAGGACATATCTGCTTTTCTCAGAAATCTGTTAAAGAGATTTTTTTTTTTTTGGGGGGGGGGGGGGGGAAGCAAAAGTATGTGTTATATTGAGAATGGCCTTGCAAGGGAAAAAAAATAAGCACCTTTTTTGAAATACTAGTTCCACTTATCTTCAATGAAGGCATGTGAAACAATAAATACTTTGTTTCTGAAAAGTCTAGTGTGTACTTATTTGTCATCATTCACACCTTCATTTTGGGTGGATTACTGTGGCTTTAAACTTCTATAAAATATTTATTACTTTAACGTGAATTTATAAAACACATTCAGCACCAAAAGCTAAATAACTGCCTGATTCTTTATAGAATATAGACAAAATCTATACAAAGGTAAGAACAGAGTCATTCTTTTGCTTTTTTATTCTCCAAATATATTAAAATTATTACAACTAAATGGGTGTTTTATAAGGATTTGGGATTTGAAGCAACTGCTGTTGGCAAAGTTGTCATCATTTTGTAGGAAGTTCTTCTGGGATTCCAAAAAACCCTGAAGGCTCACAGATGAATTTTTAGAGAGGTTTTTTGTTGCTTCTATCTGTATTAGCTGAATGTAGTAATAAATAAAAGATCCTTTTAAAATAAAATATGTACTACTATAAGGAAGCTTCAGGTAAATGGAGTCACTAATGTGGAGATAAATGACAACATTTCAAACATTCAAAGAAAGTATGGCCCTATATTAGACAAATTATTACATTTTACTTAGCCCCTTCTCATTCCAAACCAGATTTAAGGCAAAATTTGAAAGTAAGACTAGTTAGAAGCAGGCTGAATCCAGCTATTGTGTAGTAATTTTCAGTCTTTAATCAGTTCACTTTACATTTGCTGATCCAATGCATAATTCATATGTTTTTTTCAATGAAAACAAATCAAGGAAATTACTGTAAAAGTGAAAGTGGCTTTAAAATGTTGTCTTTTAAAAAGATGGCATTTCACACTAAGTTAATTAGCCATGTCACTTTCACTTAAAAAGTGAAATGCTAATTATGGGAAATTTCTGTTTGAAAGGTAGAACATTAACATTTGTGAGACACAGGCAAAATTATGCTCAACAGTATCAGCTGACAGGTAAATGGATCCTAGTGTGGTGGACCTGGGCTTCCCAGATGTGGTGGGGTGGGAAGGTGAGAGCCTCCCAACCTGCAGCAAATTTTCATGAACTGGTAGATAATATGGTTTTCCCACCACCCGAGGCACCCCGCACTCCAGTAAACGACCCACAGAATCAATTATTGACTGCAACTGGGAGAGCCTAGAATGCGGCCATTGAGCAAAGCAGTAGCATGGGTATCTTGCCTAATGACTGCTTGGTTCAACAAACAAAATCCCCATTCCAATTGTGGTGGTAAGTCAAGAACTACCTCTTCTAGTGACTTTCTTCCTTTCTTTTCATACATTTTAATAGTTTGTTTAAGTATAAAATACAAAAAGAAATTTTAAAAAGTCATAGTAACTGGAGGGAGAGGAAAAGAGAAAATATGGAGTAAAGAGAAAAGGCACCGACTTCCAACTCTCTTTAGCACAGAAGATAACAACATTATAGCCTCAATGTTTTTTACTTTTAAACAATATACTCACCATTTCTATAGCAACAAACCTATCTAATCAGCAAAAACACAATCAAAGTTTCATTTCCCACCCCATTGCAAGCACAAAATCCGGAAGCAATTTCCAAATAGAAACAAAATTAAATATAATCTCTTCTTGGGATAAAATAATCGATTTAACAACCTCTGCTTCTCCTTGCTGTGGGGAATGGTATCTAGAGATCTGATTCCTATAGCCATCTCTAAGCGTTTCTACAGGTTGTCCGCGACACATGACTGTAATAGAGCCTACCCATTATAGTCACAAGTTGTAATGGTTGCAAAATAGGTCAGTCCTGTGACTGACCCGATTTTACAACACTTTTTGTAGCAGTCGTTAAGTGAACAATGTGGCCATAAGTGAAAATTCTGCAGTCATTAAGCAAATCCTTTTTTTTTTGTTTTGCCATGGCATGCTTTTGTCAAAAACTGGAAGTAAGTGCTGGGTTGGGTTTTTTTTGGCAAAACCTTTGTAAAATGCAGTAATGTGACTGCAAGAACCTGTAAATTGCTGCGTAAATGCAGCCATGTTGTCAAGCACCCAAAATTTGCTCACATAACCAGTGAGGGGCTTTGATTGCTGGAAGTTAAGAATCTGGATCATAAGTAGCCTGATTGTACCTTTGAACAATCGCTAAGCAACTGGCCATAAGTTAAGGACTACCTGTATTGCTTGATAATTACTAGCCTGGAAATAACTTTGAAGTATTTTTCAAAGCATTGTCAATTAAATAAGTGTACATATACGTTTCATTTCCTGCATTCTTCAGGGCCTGGAAACAATACCAACTGCAAAGCAAGCAGCTTTTCAATTTCTAGAAGATATGAAAATACAGATTCTGATGGATGATTGGGTTCTTGGGGGACTAGTGGTGATAGTTTCATTTCCCATTATCATTATTGTGCTCATTTTGTTTGCTGTGATTTTTGGCTGCTGTTCAACTGAAAGGAATAAACGAAGTTCTGGGTAAATCATCAGATCACTTGCCTTTACGGTATTTCAACTACAGAGTGACTGAGCAGTGTAAAGAGCTTCTTCTTCTTGCTATTTTATCTTTTGAGTTTAGAAATGAATGTATCAAAGAAGAAACTGGTGCTGCTAAAGCACAAAACCAATTAGCATCTGAAGGATGACTTCAAGTGAAGTTCGCATTAAGAAACCATATTTCTGCTGGTTTTTGATGCAAGGATGGTGTCTACTTGCAATGGAAAACTGAACAATAAATGGCTGTGGTTGCAGAAATCTACGTTTAATTTTTCAAAAGTCCAGTTCTATAATTCAGATTATGTCTAATTTTTCTGAAAATTGTCTACTTAACTTTTTTCTCTAGCAAACTTTTTAAGTGTGAAAGGACCTGAAAATTGGTCTGTTTATAGCATCTGCTGTATCTGAAATCAATTTTATGAACAACAACAAAAATCAAATTGTTATTTAAAATAAAGAATAGCCTTATCCTTTATACAATCTATTCTGTTGTCCAAGTGTAAAATTTTTCATACAGCATATGTACAGTCTTACATACACAAAATGGATTCTTTCATGGGTACTTGGATGCTATGTCTGAGTATTACATAAGGCCATGTGAATGTTGATTTCATAAAATTTTCACCAACAATTTGGAGGCATTATGGAGAGTTAGGATTATTTCCATAACAATGAAAACATTCTTCTCATTCTAATGGGCCTCAGTTGTCATTCATTCAATATATAGCCAAATCTATATATACGTTATCCCAACCAATATGTAACCTAGGTCCAGAGGTGGTATTCAGCAGGTTCTGACCAGTTCTGGAGAACTGGTAGTGAAAATTTTGAGTAGTTCAGAGAACCAGTAAATACCACCTCTGACTGGCCCCACCCTCATCTATTCTCTGCCTCCCTCACTTCTTTTGTTGCCCTGCACAGGAGAACAGAGCTGGAAAGCAGGTTAATGGGGTGGGGAGGAAATGGGGATTTTGCAGTATCCTTCCCCCAGCAGTGGGGTGGAAATGGAGATTTTACAGTATCCTTCCCCTGCCACGGCCACCAAGCCACGCCTACAGAACTGGTAGTAAACATTTTTGAATCCCACCACTGCCTAAGACCACTCAAGAATAGGAGAAAAAAATGACCTAAAGCAGTCATAGAGATAAGAAAAAGCATCTGTTATAAGAGTAATCTCCATTCTCACCTATATTTAGACAACTGTCATAAAAACTAGGATTGGGCAACAATTCAAAGGATATGCTGTTTGAGGCACAGATGAACATACTTGTACCAACTGCCTGAAATACTTTAAGCCAAATGTGAATTTTCCTGAGTTTGCATGCCATCTGTAGATGGCAGCTGGGTGTCCCAGGAAAAATTGCAGTTGCTTCAAAGTGTTCTTAACAGATGTGACGTATACATACAGGAAGCTGTTGATTCAGATTTGCTCTTCAATTTAAATTACTACCATAATGAAAAGTACTTAGTTAAGTCCCTGAAGGACAATTTGCTTTATGTTGTTTTTTTTCTACATATACAGTATATGAAAAATTTATTTTTGTTCAATTATCTTTTCTATATGTGTATGAAAAATCTATTCCTTTCAATCAGTGTGGCACAGTAGGCATAACACCTGACTAAAACCAGGGACATCAAGTCTATAATTGGCCACAGAATACTGAGTAATGTTGCCCAGATATTATCTTTCCTACTTTTATTGTAACTTGCCTCAAAAAAGGTAAGGTGAATACAGAAACACATTCTAACTTAAGTTATGGGAAGAAAACATACAAAATATATGAAACTCCAATAGCTTTATAAGTAAGTCCCCACTATTCCAAGATTTAGGTAGCAACTCCCCAAAAATAATTTATTTCAGAATAGATCAACTCATCTTACAAGTCTTATTCAACATGGGAATGGAAGTAAATAAAGTAAATATATGAAATGACACTGTAGTACCAATGAGCAACAATTATTCAAGAATAATGTAAACAAAATTGTGTTATCTTCTTGTAACCTTATTCTACCACAACAGTTACCATCATGTAGGTAACTTGGGCTGATCTTGAAAAAGTAAAACAGTGTAATACTTGGTCAGCATTTGGATGGAAAGCCACCAGGAAATTAGAAACTGAAGGAGTCCTTAGTGATCTTTGAATTTGGTTGTTTGCTTGCAAACATGTTATTACCTAACTATTCAAGCACTGATCATCCTACCTGCCATATTTTTCAGTCTATAAGACGCATTTCCCTCCTAAAAAAGAGGGTGGAAATGTCTGTTCATCTTATGGAGCGAATATTGTGGTGGTGGGGCAGCGGCAGAGATCCCTGCCGCCTAGAACAGCTGATCGGTGGTATTCTGGGAGGCCAATCCAACCACCAATCAGCTGCTCAGCAGTGAAAGCTCCAGCGTTCCCGGCGGAGGCAGCAATGGCAGCATTTCCACTTGCCAGCCCATTGATCGGCAGGGCTATGGGAGGCTGGGATCCAACTGTCGCTCAACTGACCTGCGGTGGGCACAATGGAGCAGAGCCCTGACGAGCCATGTGCTGGGGATGCAATAATGTGCTGAAATTGACCAGACTGTTTGCTGTTTGTTGCTAGGATGAGTACCAGATGAATATTGGATGGATACTGGGAGGCAGAGGCAGATTTTTTTTTCCTCCTCTAAAGCTAATGTGCATCTTATGGTCCACAGCATCTTATAGACCCAAAAAAATACGAGTAATATTGGTAATGAAACATCTGCAAGTGAACAACCAAGCTTACAGAGCACCTAGGACTCCATAGTTCAACTTCAAGCAACATACATTCTTTTCTATTGAAATTTGAAGTTGTAGGCTAGATTGGAAAGTTGCAAAAAAATCCTGGAAGAAACCAATGGCAACCTCAAACTATTGCCAAAATAACCATGCAAATACTACCACAAAGTCTTAGTTTTTATTCTTATTCTACCATAATATGGATGAAGCTAACAAACTAGTGCTCTGTAAATGAGTGAAATTTGTTAAATAATTGGTATCACGATGTTTCTTCAGCTGAATGAAGGTACAGAGAAAGCTTTTGAACCTCTTTATTACAGACCCAGCCTTCGATTAAAACCCCCAAAACTAAGTAAGAAAATGTCTCTTCTCTATCCACATGTAATATCAGTCCTGCCCACCATTATTGCCTGGCATCTCTGTAATACATTAAATGCCCTCTAGAAATCCAACAATGGCACACTAGACTACAGACAAACCTATATTTTCCTATATTTAGCACTATACATTACTGTCTTACTGCAAAAGTAAGTTCCTCATGGCTCCAACAGCACAATTTATTTTAAATATAGAATTTATTTTTGTACAGGTTGTAATTTCTACACTAATTACTGAATATTGCAGCTACTGTTTTATATAAGGTAACTATGGAGGTAACTATATTGGTAACTATGGAGCATCCAATTTAATTTTTCATCCTCAAGCTGTTAGGCTTCACACCTTTTTTTTTCTTCAAACAAAAGAAGCTTCCCAAAAATGGTAAAATAGAGGTCAGGTTTCTCACAGATCTTCTGAAGAAAAAAACTGATAGAATACAGGCCTCTTCTGTGTGTGTGTGTGTGTGTGTGTGTGTATCTGTAGCATAGAACAGAAAGCCTTCCAACCCATCTGAGTATCCATCCATACTTACACAAGATCTTCAGAGAAGGCGACCATAGCCTCAAAGTTTTTCATCACAGCTTTATCAGACTCCTTCAAAGAACCCCGTTTCCCCTGAGGAAACATAAAACTGAATAAACAAAGCTATCTATGTCCTGAAGCACTGAATTCAGAAAAACATTTATTCACAACGTCACATTATCCTTAGTTGCATAATGAACAAACAAATACGCATTTTATTTAAACCCTGTAAAAGTACTGCAGCAATTTGAAGTATACTCTTTATGGGTATACGTCTCCTTCATATAAGATTGCAGCAAATAAGTCTTCTTCACTTTTTTCTCAGTATTTTTATCAATTACAATGTATTACTTGTGAATAAATAAGAGCAGCCAGGTGCGTGTGGATGTGGCTCTTTACTTTTTGTAAGGCCAGAATGTACCTCCACATTAAATTTGTCTTTCTGTGTATTTTCTATGTTGTTCTAAGAAACATAACATATGTAAGAAATCAACAGAAAAAAATTTGGATGGTACTATGTAGCCATGAAGCAGCAATAGCCTTCAGATATGTTTTTTGGGAAATGTATAAAAAACCTGGAAAGAACGCTATATTTCAGCTGTACTATGTGGGAAGTAGAACCAACAAAAAGAATGGAAAACCACAGACAGCTTCATTATGCATGTTGCTAGGGAAGAAGTAACGTAAGTTTTTAATGCATTCTAATCTGAAGATAAGCAGTCTGATAAGCAGAACCTGCAAGTGCTGTTGAGAAATCTGAAAATCACTGTGCATCGTAAAAGAATGTTAACAAGGAAACAAAGGGGAGGCGAAGGTATTAATGCCCCCATAATATTTATTATATTATAATATTACAGGTTTTTTTTTAGCATATTCTTGCCAGATTGGGCAATTATGTGACTAACCTTTCACTAATTTAGTATTTGTTGTCCTAGATCAAGCAATGAATTTTGCAAATTCAATGAGATGACACAAGTTAAGCTACCGTGTTTTTTCCTCGAAAATACAACCTACTCAGAAAGTAAGGCCTAGCTTGATTTTTACACGTGACCTACCCCCCAAATAAGCCCTAATTAAGACATCGCCCACTCCTAGGTGCACAGGTAAAAATTAGGATGGGATGGGGGTGGTGGAGCTGCCCTACTATTTACCTTAGGATAGTTGCAGCCAGGCCTCGCACAATTCAGGCCGTTTCTTTTGCTGAAGCCAGCAAGGCTTTCCTGAAGGACTCCGTAGCCGATAACAGAGCTCTGGATCGATCCAGAGCTCTATTATCGGCTGCAGAGGCCTTCAGGAAAGCCTTGCTGGCCTTGCCCAATGAAGAAGCTCCTGAAGGCCTTTGATAGCGAAAAAGAGGCCAGGGATTATGCGCGCAAGTGAGGTCAATTAATGACATCCCTCCCGAAAATAAGACCAGGTGCCTTTTTTGGTGGCCAAAAAATATAAACATGGGGAAACAGGGTATTTAAATTCAATACACCCTTTGGAAGACAGCAATTCAAAGATTTACCATTTGATAGCTCTTCAGAAGTATTTCAAAAGAAATACAAACTCTGTACTGATTTGCAAATTCTGGAAGGTTTAGAAAGAGTATTGTGTTTTATTGATAATATCAGGATAAGCAATTACAAGATAAGAGAATTACACAAGTTCTGGAATGGTGTGAAGAAAGAAATTTGAAGTTAAATAAGCAAAAATTTAAATTTGACATAAACTGATTTCTAGTGGTGTGAAACCAAGATTGAAGCTATTGTTAACATGCTAAACTCAAAGGATAAAATAGACCCCAGCAATTTTTAGGTATGCTTAATTATTTAGCAAAATTTGTTCTTATAATGGCTACTCTGAAAACTCAATTAAGGTAGCTGATGTTATAAGACATGGAAATGCCAGTATATAAGATGTATTTATAATACATTGAAAGAATTATTGACGTGTAGCTGACTACTTAAATGGGATGGTAGAAACAATTATACAGACTGCAAACAGAATGTTAGAGAAGCTGGATGGTTCTGATTTTTATTTGCGTCTTTGAGCTTATGGAAATAATCCTATTTGGACAAAAAATCACCAGCATAATTACTGATGGGAAATGTTTGCAAACTAGGTTACCAGCATGTAGCATTTTGTTAAACTCACAGGATGACTGCAGAGATATGTGTGAACAATTGAAGCATAGATAAGAAAACAGAGCGTAATATTATAATTGGGGGGAGGGGAATTAACCCCTTACCTCCTTTGAGTGTATGAGATCATGTGAATCTTAGACATAGTAAAATGTGAGGACTTGCCCAAGTTGTAAAAAAAAAAAAAAATCAAACTCCTAGATCCTGCTCTGTGCAAACGGCTGAAGGACCAGTTTATTGAAAAAAATTGATAAAAGTTAAAGAAAGTTGAAAGATCTTATGCTGTCTTCATTCAAGTGCAGAACATGGAATAAATTACAACTGGTGAGATCATTGCTAAAAAGGGCAACAATCTGATTTGGGGGGAACACAGACAATAGTGGTATTAAGGGGAGAAATGGAACATAAGCCAGTACAGTATGGAAATTTTGTACCTCAAAAAATCCTTCATTTACTTGTGAGTTGAATAGAATATGTACAGTATATAAAAAGAGCCAAACGTGTTTAAGCCTGCAAGTTACTAGCGAGAACCTGTCTGCATATTAACAAACATGACTGTCACCTTCACGAAGAGAAAGCAGTAAAATCTGAAAAGTTCTACACTGCCATGTATGTATTAAGATGTATCTTGCCTGTTTTATTCAAATATAAAACTATATTTGCCTTCATGAGCGTCAAAATGTGAGCTATAGTACACAGTAAATGAAGGATTCTTAGTTATGAGCAGTTGATTTGACAAAGAAAGAATTCACTGAAGCCATACCACACAAGGCCCTTACCTGAAGCGTAGTCATTTCTTTCTTGATGAGAAAGCAGATTTGTTCTCTGTCAGTATGAGAGTAATAAAGGCGACAGCTTGATGGATTCCCATCTCTCCCTGCCCTTCCTGATTCTTGGTAATATCCAGCCATTGATTTTGAAATATTCCAGTGTGCAACGAATCTGTGTGATATGACCAATAATAATCTTTACATGGGATACATCTAAAATACATTTAAAATATATCCATATAAAAGACCAACATAACCACAGCAATAAATATAGGCCAGTTTATGATTCTTTCCCCCCTCGCCCCTATTTTATTAAATGAAAAGAAGCAAAAATATATACTTCCTGATATTGAAAGCATAGTTTGTTTGGCTACTTGGTGATCATTTTGCATATACCTGACGTTGGGTTTGTCAACTCCCATTCCAAAACTGATAGTAGCAACGATGACTGGAAATTTTTCCTCCATCCATTCATTTTGAATGGAGGTTCGCTCTACCAGCTTCAGCCCTTAGGAAAAAAAACAAAGGACAATAGTATAATATCAGCAGACTTTATCTTTATCCATCCATTTATCCATTTTTTCTTACACTTATATGTCAGGAAATACATGTTGGAACAGCATCTTAGAGACTGTAGATGGGCCATCAAATCTGATTCATCTTTATCTCAGAAAACTAAGCAGAAGAGCAGGTGCTGTACTGGGCATTCTTTTTTTTTAAGTCTCACTCCAGAAAAAATATTGCATAGAGAAGGCAACACGTCAAGTGCAGTAAGAAACATTATGGTTAACTGTGGTTAAGGAGTTGGATCTGGAGCAGGAAGACCCAGGTTCTAGTCCTCCCTCTTAGGCATAGAAGTCAGCAACTTTGTGCCAGTCACTCCCTCTTAGCCCTAATCACTGTTGAGCTCTGCAACAAGCTATCTGTTAAACAAAATACCCATATCACATCATATATTGATAGCTTCATGTATGCAATGGGCAAACACTGTGTAAAAACAAATAAATCCTGTAACCATAAGGAACTAATATTAAGAACAAGATTAACATTCATAAATGTTATTAAATATAGGGTGATAGTATTCTATTGTCGTGGTTTTTGTTCACTTTGTTTTTTTCTCCTTATGATACAATGTTATTCATATATTAATGAAAACTGTATTGTTTAGATAACTCAGAATAATGACAATAAAGGGGAAAAAAAGATATTATACCAGTATTAATTACAACTTAGGATATTGATTATGAGCATAATGTAATTTGACTTTTTCATTCAAAATTGAATATAACATTAGAAAACAGAAACTGCTGCAGACTGCATCAAAATATCACTTATACCAGGGGTCGCCAACCTTTTGGACATCAGGGACCACCAAACTCATAATTTTAGATCCCAGGGACCACTAACTGGTTCTGTGAGCGTGGCCTAATTTGTTGGTGTGGCTGGCTGGGCATGGCTTGTATGTAAATATTATAAATATTTATATAAATATTGAATTTTTTACAAAAAAGAGCAACTTTTACCCAAAATCAGGCAAAGAAGGCAGGCAGATTGGGTTGCTCACAGAATCACAGTTTCATTCAGAAATCTATCTATCTACCATTGGCTAGTTCAGTCTGTCACATCAAATTTGCTTGCAAGCAAACTCACAAAATTAACTCACAACATACCATGTATGTAAATATTGAATTTTTTTATATAAAAAACAACTTTTATCCAAAATCAGGCAAAGCGGGCAGATTGAGTTGCTCACAGAATCATTCAGTGATCTATCTATCTGCCATCGGCTTGCTCAGCCTCTCAAATTTGCTTGCAAGCAAACCTTCAGTCCTAAAGAAGGTTCAGCTATGCTTAGCTAGAAAGCAAGAAATCCAACCATTTCCTGCTTCCTAGCTAATGTAAATCTCCCAGCACAACAGAACAGATGATGGTCGGAAAAAGAAAAAATAGCAACTTAGCAAACAAATTTGCCGGGTAAGGAGTGAGTGGGCAGGGAGGGTTCCCGCAGGCCATGTGGGCGGCACAGCCTTGTGTTTCTGCGCAGTCTGGATTAATTGCTTTGGGGGGGTGCTCTGGGGGTGAGATTTCTCTGCGGCCCACCAAAATTTTCTCACAGCCCACCAGTGGGCCACGGCCCACCGGTTGGCGACCGTTGCCTTATACAATAAAATTTCAGCCTTGAGCTGATTATTTAGTGCTAAAGTCTTCACTATGCACTCTAACAATATTTAAAATATTTTTTAAAAAATAATTTTAAAAAGAGAGAAAAAAAGAACTAAAAGAACTACGCTAAATAATTGCTTGGAGTGGAAAGAAACAGAGCTTTCATTACCTGCATGATATGCCTTTGCTTTTACTCCTCTATTGCTTAGCTCAATAGACACCTGTTCACAAGCATCTCTCATCCTGCAGTAGATAATTCCACAGCCAGGATACCCCTGCACAGAGGAAAAGAGAATGAAGCTAACATTAGCATCATAAGGACATGCAACAATAAACAAGCTACAGATATGAAGGACTAAAAGATAAGTTTTCATAGGCTTGGCTTAGGGTTAACACTATGCATATTTTATACAGAAGTCAACAGATTCTCATGAACCTTTTGATTTTGTACCAGAACTTGTACCAAAGTCTGAACGGTATCTGCTACACTGAACAGTCAAGCCAAAAAAGACTATCAGTGGACAATGTTTATATTCTCTGACTCCAGCCATTCATATAGAATAGAAGTAGAGTACTATGGTCCCTATGACTTGTGGACTTTAACTCCCAGAATTCCTGAGCCAGCATGGCTGACTCAGGAATTCTGGGAATTGAAATCCATAAGTCATAAAAGGGCCACAGTTCCCCGCTTGATTATAAATTTATTTATAATTGTTTATTTCAAATATTTATAACACAACTCTGGGTGGCTCTGGATTTTAATTTAGTATTAAACTATCTAATTATTATTAGACTCATATCCTGCTTTTTCTCAGGGAGCGCTAGGTAACATACATAGCATCCTTTTCTCTGATGTCTTCTGTAACAATCTGTGGGGTACACTGGGTTAAGAAACAGTGAGTGGCCCAAGAATGTCTATGACTGATCCTGGATACGAACCTGGGATCAACAGGTTAAGCACACTGCCTCTTTAAAAAATACCTGTAGCTTTCTTTTTTTAAAATCAATATGGACTATACAACTTGTGTCACCTTATGGGAAAAAGAATAAAGTAACATTGCATTTATTCTGTTTCCAATCAGGTGACACAGGTTCTGTTTACTCCACAATAAGCTAGATTTCTATAACACTTACATTAGTTTATATAATCTCCTGTTCCTATACAATATTTATATAGTCTGCATTTTCATGTACATTTCATGTTTTGCTGCCATCTGACTCTGCCAAGCTAATCAAGAATTCAAACTCCCATGTGCTGCTAAAAAGTTCATACTTGCTTAATGAAATCTGTAGGGTTTGAATTCTTTCTTTTGAACCTTTTGGATACATGTCACCTATGTACTTATTTATTTATATCCCTCCATTATTCCTGCATATCTAGAAATAATATTGCGAGAATGGGATTATAGTTCTCCATATGCTGTGAAATAAACTCTTCCAGTAGCCCAAGTTAATGTGGGCAATGCTGAGGGCTGTTGAGATCTTGCAATAAAGAAAATTTAAGAGGATCACAGTTTCCCTTCATGGATATATAGGCAGTCTTTGACTTACGACTACAATTGAGCCCAAAATTTCTGTTGCTGAGTGAGACAGTTGCTAGGTGAATTTTGACCCATTTTATGACCTTTCTTGCCACAGTTGTTAAGTGAATCACTGCAGCTGCTAAGTTAGTAACCCAGCTGTTAAGTGAATCTGGCTTTCCCATTGACTTGGCTTGTCAGAAGGTCACAAAAAGGTGATCACGTGAGCTTGGAATATAGAAATGGCCGTAAATATGGACCAGTTGCTAAGCATCTGAATTTTGATCATATGGGATCATGGGGATGCTGCAAAGATTGCAACTGTGAAAAATGGGCATAAGTCACTTTTTTCAGTGTCATAATTTTGAATGGTTACTTAATGAACTGTTGTAAATCAAGGACTACCTGTACATAATTATTCTTTCTGAAATACTCTTATCGTTTAGCTGTTTTTCTGAAAAAAAGCCACTTCAACAGAATTATCCCATGCATGTCTACTCAGAAATAAATCTTGAGTATAGTTTTGACTGAACTATATACTTTTGAACCTCTTAAATATTGATATTATCCATGAAACTACAGGTATATTTCACAGCTGAGTTCCTAGTTATCTCTCTATAGATGCATGTGATGTCTTATGTATGTTCTGTCAGGGAATTCCTCTCTCTAAACAAATAGCAAAGGAAATATGATTCAATCCAAGTTTTGTCCTATCATGTTAGTTGTAAGTTACCTAAGACCAAGAAGCCACAAGCAACCTTTTTTTAAATAGAGATTTCACTCACCCCTAATTCATTTTGCTGTCCAAGAGACTTCAGACAGAAATCCTTCAGATTTTCATAGGGATCTGCTAAAAGGTCTTTAAACTGCACGTCATAGAACAGATTGGGCCTGAAGCAAGGTGTCCTGAAAGTGGCAACAGGCTGCTTTAGCTTCAGCAGGGCTATAATATCTTCCTGAACTTGCTTAGTAGCTGTGGCTGTCAGGGCTATGCATGATATATTGGGCATGCGACAACGCAAGGAGCCAAGATGCAAATAGTCCGGTCGGAAGTCATGCCCCCACTGGGAAACACAGTGAGCTTCATCAACTACCAGGTAAGAGATAAGATTTTGAGACATTAGACGTTCCAAGGAGGGCCGAAAAGAAGCAGAAGCTGCCATCTCTGGAGTGATGTACAATAACTTTATCTTAGGGTGGTCACTTGTCAAGTCAGCAAGGATGGCTTTTCTCTCCTGAGCGGACATCTTGGAATTAAAAGAGCTCACTCTGACTTTGAGAGAGAGCAAATGATCCACTTGGTCCTACGGAAAAAGTGAAAGGTACTTTACAGAAAGAAACTGACCAGCCAACTGCTGCAATTTGAAGATTAAACAAGTTGATTAAAGAAAGATGACAATGAGCATCATCCATTATAGTATCAAGATTAAAAACAATGAATTCCTTGAATTTTTATTTACATGAAATTTCTAAACACCTAAAAAGTTTGATAGAAAAAGATAATTCAGAACAATTACATATATGATCTTCTGTGGCAATGCCTGAAGGCCAAAGAAAATACTAATTCCAGAATTTCCAATTACTTTCAGTTATGAGACTGAACTATGCAATAACCTGCACTTATTGATCTGAATTAAGCTAACAAGCTCTTCAGAAAAGGCAGATTCTAAGACATTTTTCTATTTAAAGAAATGTATTTCTTCTTTCAAATATGTAATTATAGAAGATACCTGAATAAGTGAAATTAATGGTGAAATCACTATCGTGATGCCCTTTGCCAAAACTGCTGGAAGCTGATAACACAAAGATTTCCCTGCTCCTGTTGGCATACATACAAATGCATCCTTTTCCCCTGCAAAAGCAACAACAAAATGGACAAAGATCTTTTTTTTCAATTACAAGTGTCTCTAGATTCTGTTTTGAAAACCAGAACATTTTTTTCCTAGGATATGCATAGGATATCAAATCTTACATATATCCATATAAGCACAACACTACCATGACAACTCATTATAGTGAAACATATTAGAGCTAGGTACTCTATGAAAATGATTTAAAAGAAATGTTTTAAGTGAACTTGACTTTCTGCTGTTCATTGAGAGAACCTATTTTTTTTCAGTCTGAGTCCAGAAAAAAGGTACCAGAGATTATGTTTAATGAGTGGATTTTGGTATCATATACCGAGATATTATTTAAACGAGGCTCTAAATTGGCCATCAAAAGGCTACAAAGCCCCGTAGCAATGACCATGTCTTACTCACTGATGTTGCTGAAATGTGTCCATGAGCTTCATTCTTACATGGAGTGCCCATGAAATTAATCAAATGTAACTGGAACTATGAAATTTGCACTTCTGGGTGCCATATAATAAATTATTTTTTAAAGAAAACTCCTCCTTGGTCAAAAAGCCCTGTATGCATTCACACTATCAGGTCTCAGTTTTTTGGCACAGCATGCTCTTTTGGTATAGCAGCTGCAGGACAAATGGAAGATGGAGCAGAGTGTCATGGTGAGAAGAACAAGCTCTTTGCAGTTGTTTTTTCTAGGTGATAGATGGGACTGGATTTCTATTTGCTTTAATTCCAGGTAGGCTGGGAGAACCAGAGGTGCTGGGTTTCCCAACCAATAGCACACGACTAATATTGATTTTTTAAATTAAGGTGAAATGGTTCATTTTTGTGAGTCAGAAAAATAGTCATGACTTATAGGTAGTCCTCAACTTACAATAGTTCATTTAGTGGCCATTCAAAGTTACAACAGTACTGAAAAAAGTGACTTACGACTATTTTTCACACTTATGACCATTGCAGCATTCCCATGGTCAAGCTATTTATATTTGGATGCTTGACAGATGGTTCATATTTATGATGTTGCAGTGTCCTGGGATCATGTGATCATCTTTTGCAACCCTCTGACAAAAAAAGACAATGGGGAAGCCAGATTCACTTAACAACCTGTTACTAATTTAACAAACTTCAGTGATTCACTTAACAAACGTGGTAAGAAAAGTCATAAAATGGGCCAAAACTCACTTAGCAAATTTCTCACTGAACAACAAAAATTATGGGCTCAATTGTGATCATAAGTTGAGGACTACCTGTGCAGTTTTATTTGATTTCCATTCTAGGAATGACCAAATTTGACTCAAGTCCATAGCTCTTCAGTTTGGATGTATTATGAAATTACTGTTAACTGAAAACTTTCAGTATAAATTGTAGTAAATCACATTTCAGTTTATAAAGCTAAGCCATCCATCCAAATTGATGTAAAATCCAATACCAGGCAAGCACTCTCTAAATGTATTAGGATTGTAACACATTTGCATGACTTCTCAGCTAGCATGACCTTTGGAACTTGCAATTCATTTTCTTAGAAATGGGTCTGTTTAATGGGGTTTATTTCCAAGATAAATCGATTTTTACTACAAATTTGGCCAAGTTCAATTACTCATTTTAAGAGTCTAGGGAAATCTGGAACTGAAATAATCAATCTAAAAGATTTTCTGTAATTTCAGCAGTAGAAAAAAGTCTTTTAAAATATTCAGAGCTTTTTCACTGTACGTTTTTATCTTATTGTTGCAGAGAATAGAATTTAATACTTGCCATGTTTTGGGAAGCTGGGAATCTTTGAATGACATGTTAAAAATATTTTACACTGTCATAAAAAGTACTTGTGATTTACCTTTTACCACAGTCATAGTTGCACTTCCTTGCAATGAAGTCTTGAAAGAGTTAAATCCAAAAACTTTTGTCAGAGTTTGCAGAACTCTATCTTCCAATCTTGAAGAAGAGATGTTACTCATCTTAAAAGCCAATACTAGGAGTAATTCAAACTAGAGGTAAGGAGAGGGCCTTCATGCAATTATTTTCTTTTCTTGCAAACCATCACCTGTATAGGCATAACAGATGTACTTCAATACCATCTTCTTTAAAATGAAATATAATTTATTTTTATACAACCATCACCATGCCAGTTATATTCTCTGATTTAGTAAAATACAAAAGGGTTCTTACTATTCATTAGCCTATAGAAAAAGCAAAGCTATAAATATATTGGATTATAATCCAGAGACTAAAAGAACCTAGGCACAAGAAATGTAACTATTTTCTTGCTTTTTCGGAATGCAGATTATTATCTTATAATGTGTACTACTTTTTCTATTGCCTTGCAGCTGTGTCCCAACCTGCTCAATTCCATGCGATTTTCTAAACAATAGAGAAGCAGCTGTCTCTTCAAGTTGTTTTTCTTCTTCCCAGTTTAGGCTATAGTTTTGGGATTGTTCAAGGGGTGATCAAGCAAGTACTGAGCCAAATCTTAGCTTTTTTACATCAGCCTTAAATACTCCACAAAATGCAGAAGATCCAATGGAGTCAGGGACCTATCTAATCCAAGAATTAGAAGAATATGGGGCGGTAGCAGGACTAAAAATTAATAAAGATAAAACAAAAGTAATAACCAAAAACTTGATAGAAAGTCATAAAAAACAATTGGAAAGGAAATTGGGACTACAAAATGTCAAAAAACTTAAGCATCTAGGACTTTGGTTAACAGGAAGATGCTCTTCCATAAAAGAGGATAATTATATGAAATTACTTTCACAGATAAAGAAAGATCTGGCCAATTGGGGAAAATTACAACTATCATTATTAGGCCAAATAGTGGCCATAAAAATGAACATACTACCAAAACTATTATACTATTTTCAAACAATACCTATAAAATTGGATAAGAATTTTTTTCAGGAATTAGATAGGACGGTAATGAAATTTATATGGATGGGGGGAAAAGCACGAATAAAATTGAAAACGTTACAAGATAGTGGAACCAGAGGCGACCTTGGACTCCCAAAGTCAAGCAGCAATTTTACTATGGGTTAAGGAGTGGATAAACTTAAAAAAATAAAAGAATTTTGGCGAAAGAAGGTCATGACCTCCAAGTTGGGTGGCATGCCTTTCTATGGGATAAAAAGAATAAGATCCACTCCAATTTCCATAGACATTTGATAAGGGACTCACTTTTACAAACATGGGAGAAAATAAAAAAAGCATTATTTGAAAAGACCAAACTGGATCTCACCTATGGAAGCTATATTATATCCAAATACAAGGGACACTAAAAATATGATTAGATATAAAGAATTGGTAGATGAACAGGGGGAATTAAAAACACTGGATAAACTAAAAAAACAAGGGATATTAGACTGGTGGGTATATTTGCAAATTCAAACTAAATTTAAGAAAGGTGTAAAGGAGCTAGGGATAGATAAAGGCTTACAAAAATTGGACCAAATCTTGACAGGCAAGGATATAAAATTTATAACACGAACATATAATTATTTACTGGAGGAAGAACTAGAGGAGGAAATTGTTAAGGGACCAGTGATTGCCTGGGCAAGAAATGTGGGTCATAATATAAATTTGGATGAGTGGGAAAAGACTTGGACCGAGAACTGGAAGCTGACTTTGTCGACGGCATTCAAAGAAAATCAATATAAAATGTTTTGTAGATGCCACTTAGCGCAGGCATGACTGGTGAAAATGTATCCAACCTTGAAATCAAAATGCTGGAAGTGCAAACAAAAGAAAGGAATGTTTTTCCATATGTGATGGCAATGTATAGAGGTCAAAAAATACTGGAAGAAAATACAGAGATGGCTTTTTGAGATTACAAAATATAAATTGAATTTGGAACCCGAAACGTTTTTATTAGGTATGATCAAAGGGAATTTGAGTAAAGATAAAAGATACCTTATTGTACACATTTTAAACGCAGCAAGAATCACTTTAGCACAAAATTGGAAAAGTAATAAAATATCACCAGATGAAGTTTTGATTCAAAAAATAATGGACTGTGCTGAACTAGATAAATTCACTATGGAACTGAAAGGCAAAGAGGATCGAGAATACTATGCTACATGGGAGAGGTGGTACGAATGGGTGAAGGATAAGGATAAAAATAATGTATAGTCACAAAATAAGAAACATGTATATACAATGACACAACAACTGTTAATGGAAATGAGCTTTTTGTATTTTTTGTTTTTTAAGAATAAAAATTTAAAAAAAATGCTCCACGAAATGCGATTTTTTTTTAGGTCCGAAAGTACTCCACAAAATGCATCTTTTAAATTCGCACGATATAATATTTAACCCTTCAAGGAGGGGGTGAGCTTGGAGAACAAATCGCTATTTAACCAACACCTAACTCTTGAGACCAATTTGAATTTCCCGACCTTTTTATTATCACTTTTCTCAAATTACTTTCTAACGCAGATCTGCCAGAGAAAACCTAGCAGGTTCGAAGATGAAAAGTTCAGACCCTTGTCCGCGGATAGGAGTTAACAAAATCGGCGGGATTAAAATAATCTCTAGGTATAGACCACTCCAACCTTTTCCATCTGAGGGAAGCCGAGACCGAAACTCGAGACCGCGGCCCCGCGGGGAAGCGTTTTAATGCATCCATAAGCTAGCTATTAAACTTCTTTCCTTCCCAGCTCTCCGAAACTATGTTCTTGCGCCATAGGCCTCAATGAGGGCGCAGCCGTTGCCAGAATCCCGGTTAATTCAGACGGCTTTGTATTTCAGCAGCATCGGGGACTTCGGCATCGCTTCAGCGCGGGTTGATGACGTAAGAGGCGATGAAGAGCCGAGACTTTTTTGGTGTGGGCGGAAATGCTCTTCTTTTCCACTGTGTTGAACGACATCCAGCAGTACACGGAATCCTCCTTGGGAGGGAGGGAAATACCTGGGGGAGGGGGGGCAGATTAGTCCGCGGCTATCGCGGTCCCGAACAGAAGGACGGTAGTTCCGGCGATCACTTCGCTGACGCCATTTTCTTGCGCCGGAAGAGAATTCTAACGGAGTTCCAAAAGGAAGATGGCGGCGGCGGCGAAAAAAAGCGTTCTATCTTCCTTGGCGGTTTATGCGGAAGATTCCGAGCCCGAGTCTGATAGCGAGGCCGGCGGAGTCGGTAGCGATCGAGGAGGAGGGACGGGTGAGGCCTTGGGGCGGCGGCTGGCGGTGGTGGTGGCTGTTTGGTTGGGTTTAATAAGACGCCATGCCTCGTTTCTTCTTTGAAAGCTGATCGGGATGGCTCCTGATCAGCTTCAAGTCTTTGCTGGGTATCCTGATGCATCATAGGGTTGGCTTCGGCTTCGTGTTCAGGGAGGTATGATAAATGGCTTTATTCGCCGTTGAAGCTTTCTCCTCCCTCCGTTTCCCGGTAGGGTTTATCGCCCATGTTTTTCTTGACTGATGGGTGTTGTGGCGGTACGTTCCTCTCGAATGTTCTTGGGCGGATAATTTGGCTTTTGGAGAAGGTGCCTTTCTGAAAATATGAAGCACCTTTTTTATTTGGCTACGCTGTTAATTAACTTTAACCCAACACGGTTACTTACAGCGACTGCTTTCTTCAGCCTCTAAACTAAAGTGTGAGTTCTACCATACTGTTTGTTAGATAAAATATCAGACATTTGATTTGGTATGTTTGGCAAAGACCTAAAATGTGATCTGTTCTCCCCGCCAATCCTAAAGCTAGATAAAGAGAACCCAATTAAACAAGTGAGCCAAAAGATATTTAATGATTTGTTGGAGGAAATGATCCAGAACTGCATACCTATCTGTGTGTGGCAAATGTATGTGCACTTTTGTTTTCAGTAACTGATACTGCCACCACCATGTCTCACAAATGGAATAAAGTTCTTATGCTGAAATACAGTGTTTGCCTTTCACCAAACATGTTTTTCATTCAAGTCAGAAATGTCTATTTTGGTCTTATCTGTGCACAGAACATTCTTCCAGTTGCCTTCTGGTTTGTCTGCATGGTCTTTCGCAAATGGTAGATGGACAACAATTTTCTTCGTTTGGAGAGTAATGGCTTTCTCCTTGCAACCCTGCCAGGTACACCATTGTTGTTCAGTGTTTTTCTGATGATGGTTTCACAAACACTGACATTCACCAGTGCAAAAAGGCCTTTAGTTCTTTAGATGTTACTATGGGCCTCTTTGAGACCTCCTGAAGACACACCTTGCCTTTTGTATGATCATGGTTGGTCAACTATTCCTGGTAAGGGTAACAGTGGTGTTGAATTATCTCTATTTGAACAGTGTGCCTGAAAGTGGACTGATAGAATCCAAACTCTTTGGAAATAATTTTGTAACATTTTCTAGCCTGGTTAGAATCAACAATATATTTTGGGAGATGCTTAAAAACCTCCCTTGTTTGAGCCATAACACATTTCCCTTTACCTGTGTTGCAAAGATCAGGCTTTGAAAGTGAATACTCAGAATTCCATTATTTAAATAAGGCAAACCTTCCACACATCACACCTTATTATCTTCCCATTGATTGCAACCCCTGAATTTCCCCTTCACATGAACTGATAATCCTAGAACACGGGTGCCAAATTTGTGGCGTCATGTTGCCATCACATGACATTTTGCAACGTTTTCCCCATTCACGGAGCTAGGGTGAGCATGGCTTGCATGTGACACATCCGGGCTGCAGGCTGCCAGTTTGACACCCCTACCCTAGAGGGTCATTACTTTAGTCACTTTACAAGTTTGTATCTTTCCTAAGTAAATAAATGAATTATAATGTTTTCACTCATTTGTTTATTTGGCTTTTAGTTTTAGTAAACTAGTTTTAGTGTCTGTATGGAGAACAGATGTTTTAGGTTATATTTCTGTAGAAATATTGTAAATTTAAACAAGTTCACACACCTTTAAGTATATGCAAAACAGTAAGACTAATGCCTGGTATTTTATTGGACAGTTAGCAAGGAAGAACTTACACTATAGAGGGGCTGAAGAAAAGTTACTTAAGTAAAATATATTTCTTGTTTAGCAGGGTAGTTTTATTTCAGCAGGTATGTTTATATATGTGATTTTGTACAACAGTATCTTCTGCATGTATTTTCACTGGGTTGCAAAGTAACTATTAACCATTTTCTTCCCTCTTTGGATGGTTCAGAAGAAAAAGCTGGTTTGGTGTCAGAAAGCTATGGAGAAGATGACTTCAGTAAAATGGAAGGAGAAGAGGATGGTTATGATGAAGATGATGATGAAAACAGCAGACAGTCAGTAGGTATTTTGTTATACAGAAATCATAACTTGGATTGCAGGTTTCACTAGAGCAGGGGTGGGCAAACTACGGCCCGCGGGCCACATCCGGCCCATTGGTCTTTTTAATCCGGCCCACCGAAGATTGGTACAGAATTAAGGTTTGATGTGAATGATTGAATGATTGCATTCATTTGATTTTGACTTGTAATGACAGGCATTTCGACACCAGGCGGCGGCCCGTCTGTCAAATTTTAAAAGTCAATGAGGCCCCCGAGCCAAAAAGTTTGCCCACCCCTGCACTAGAGCATAATAGGAATATTAACTTTTTGTATCTTTGTTGCTTTTGTCTATGTATATTGTATTTGAAGTTATCACAGAATTGCTAGAGGAATGCTTAAATAATATGGAAAAACACATTATTTATCCTTAACTTCCTTCAGTGGAAATGCATTTTTGTTTGCAAGATCAAATTTTAATGTAATAATAAAACGATCCATTTTATAGATGATGTACACATGACATTTCTAGATTCTAGAAGTACATTTCTAGATTCAGAATTTAAAAGTAAAAAAATAAATTGATAAAAACAACTGTAACATGATTATAAGATAGTAACCAATACACCATTATTTCTTCCACCCATGCATTGCTTGAACTGATTATTCTTGCAAAGCTTTTAAAATGTAGCTTCTCTTCTATGTTCCTTTTTCTTTCTTTTTTGCTTTAGATAACTTTCCCTTCTTTGGCCAGGATGTTAGATGAGCCCATTCTATGAACATTTCATTAATTTGAAATGTATTGTTTTTATTACTCTTGGGTATGATATATTTTTGTTTTCTTGCTTTTAATCTAATTCCGAGTGCCCAGAGTTGCAATTGTGAATTGGGCAGCTCTCTAAATTGATAATTAAAAGCAGTCTTCAAACAGTATTTTAAAATTGCCAGTTTTTCAAGTGATCATTTATACCAAGATATACTGTGGCATTTCCCAAGCATATTCTCCTTTTACAATGTATTATCCCTTCAGCTTGGGTTAAATTTCCCTGTAACTTTTCCATTCCTATATGCATCTCTATTCAGTTTTGTATTATCTCCAAATACCTATTATTTAGATATATAATTCTTATAAATGAGTGGCATGAAAACACTTCTGATTCCTGCTTAAAATGAAATGTAATATGACCTTCCTGGGTGACCTCTTGAAAATACAAAGGGACACTAATCTGAGTAGTAGGATAAGTATATTGCTCATCTACTTTGACTAACGACTTAGTTTTTATTTCAAGAAGAATCTTTTCATATGAATAAATCCCAAGGATATTTAAAGCAGGAGAAATCAGTTTTAAAAAAAACCACTTGCTTTATAGCTGATAACAACATCCAATATTCAAGCTAATGCTGTTGCATGAACACCTCAGAATAAGTTCATAAAGGTAGCACAGTTCATCTAAGTGAGATTCTATGTCTTTACGCTGATTGGCAGAATCTATAAGTGCTATCCAAAGCATCTGCAGATGGGGGCTTATTCAAACATCATAATACAAATATTTGAATATCACAATGCAAATCCCACTTGTGTGCATGCATCAGTATACTTGCTCAAAAACAGCAATGCCAGACCTTGTCTACTATTTTGCTTATTTTGATATCCTCTGCAGATGGTTATTACTGTATACAAGACACATCCAGGACACCTGTCCAAGATTCCTGCCATTTCTTTTAGATCAGATAGTAGCAATAAGAGGGAGAACTGTGTAGTAGTAATATTAATACTGGTACCTCATCCCAAACCTCTACCACAATATTGATGTTTCATGCAGCTATGTTAAAATTAAATTACAGAGTTATGACATAATGCTGTTTGTAAATTCTTCTAAGCTTAACCTTAAATAATGGTATTCCATTCTTCATATTAAAGAAAGCATATTTGCAATTTTTAAAATTTCATAATGTGGTAGCAAAAGAGTTAGGTGATCCTTTTTGTTGTGGGCATTCCTATAACTGATTATTCAGTATTTAATCTCATATTGAGTTTGAAATAAGTACGTAAAGTAGAATCTGGGTAGCAAATCTGGATAACTTCAGTTTCAGAAAACACAGTGGATGTGATAATAAATGTGGATGCTGTAACTTACTGAACTCTAAAGTAGAAGTATTACAGAATTTCAGGGATGTTGTTTAGCAATGAAAAACCATGCTATGGATTGATAATACAGTTCTATGGTAGTAGTTATATGCTAGTCTTTGGAAAAGTGCTCTTTCTCATTGTTCCATTCATTCCATTGTATGCAAGAAAACAGTCAAGCTCAAAAGGGCACCAAGTATATGGCTAGTTGTCTTCATGTTTGTGTGACCTGCTTTATTTATTAGAATAAAATTGGCAAAAATAATTCTCTACTGATAAAATTTATCCTATCTGCTGACTTGTGGTGCCTTTTTTAAAAAAAGAAACCCAGTATTGTACGAGTTCCTAAAATCAACCCTTCCATCTTAGAAGTAATCTTAACTTGTTTACATTTCCTTGAATGCCTGTTTTAACAGAGTTTGGGAAAGAAGTTGAGAGAGCAGCCCAGCTGCATTAAAAAGTAAAATTGGGCTATTTAGTACAAGTCCCTTCCAAATACACAACTTGCTGACAATTTAAAGCTTAATTCTGTACATTCTTTGTCTTATAGGAAGAAGATGATTCAGAGACTGAAAAACCTGAGGCTGATGATCTGAAGGTATTTGGAAGAATATTATAATGGGATGGGAATA